GTATTTGTATTTTGTAGAAAGTGGAGCTTTTCCTCCGAAACATTTTGGTAGAAGTGTCTTATACAACCGTTTCAGTATAGAATCATTAGAGGACAGAAGAAAACTTTCCTGGAATATATTTTTATGTTTAAGTTAATCTAGCACATGATAGATTGATGGATTAACATTTGCTATTATACTTGAATTTCAATGTACCTCGGTTGAACAGTCGCCATTCTTTAGTATTTTCAATTCCGCATTCCCGTACAAATTATCATTTTTATTCCCCAATATTTAACATCTGTAGAAAGTGTAATGAATTATCGGGCCTTGTTGATATATTTAGAGGTAACTCTAAAATGTTCCATAAGAACTGTAAAAAATTAATTAATAATGTTCCTGTGTAATACATATGTATATAGGTTTCAACTGTACGCACCTTGTGTTATTATTGTGATTATTAGTTTGTAATTACATATACGTATATGAACATATGTTAACTGTAAAGGGTTGTTTAATCTTTTGTGGACCATCGGCCTGTTGGGAGTGTCCGAACGTAAAAACAGAACACTATTAGACATGGCTCGATATTTGCTAATCGAATCGGGCCTACCCCCCTCTTTTTGGGCCGAAGCCGTAAACACTGCGAATTATCTGAGAAACAGATGCCCATCAAACTGCCTAAATGGGAAGACACCGTACGAAATCTGGTGTGGAAAGAAACCACACACCAAACACTTGAGAGTATTTGGTACGAGGGTGCTTGTATTAGATACAAGACCCGGCAGAGAAAAACTGGAACCCAGAACCCGAGAAGGTATATTTGTGGGGTGCCCTAGCTGTTCCAAGGGGTACCGGGTATGGATTCCAAGAAATGAGCGTAGGTGTTCAAAGCGAATCAATCACGCTTCTCGATGATGAAGAACTGGACCATTCACAAGTCGACCATGTGAGTGAACTAGAAATTCCGATCGTATCTGTCAGGCCAGTACCCACGCCTTTCGAGAACGATGAAGATCTGGAGGTCGAAGAGCAAGAGGTAGAAGACGAAGAGGCTGTCATAGGTCCTGGGGGTGAAGTTATCAAGAGGGGACCCGGAAGACCCAAGGTGGTTAGAACAGGACAAAGAGGTCGCCCACAGAAGGTATACCATCAAATTCAGGAAGAAAGTCGGCAGCCCGAAGCAAGTGACATAGAGAACCAGCAACCCGGATCCAGTGGTTCGCAACAAACCGGCGAAAGGGGGACACCCTCCTCCGCAGTATCGGGTCAATACTGTGGAGGACGGTGAGAAAATCGAAACCGGATTCACTGAAAGTACGTTCCTTTCAGAGATCCCGATAAAGGAAGCTATGGCAGGCCCAGAGGCGAGCGAATGGCATCAAGCGATCGCAGCCGAAATGAAGTCCATCATCCGAAACAATACCTTACATGGGAGCTGGTAAATCGCCTACAGCAAAAGAGGGTGATCGGTTGTCGCATGGTGTTGCGCAACAAGTTAAAGGCAGACGGTACGATCGAGAGGAGGAAGGTGCGACTAGTGGCGCAGGGATGCAGCCAACAGCCCGGCATCCATTTCTCAGATACCTTCGCACCGGTGGCCCGTTCCAGCTCTATACGCCTGATGGCGTCTCTGGCGGCTCAATTCAACATGAAAATAAGACAGTTCGACATCGCAACCGCGTACTTGAACAGCGAACTAGATGGAGAGATCTTCGTGGACGTACCGAAATCATTCGAGAACATTTTGCAAAGCGTTTTCGACTTGGAGGGCGGTAACGAAATCGGGAGGAAGGCAAAGGGCATGCTGAGCGTGTTTATTAAACAAATTAAAGAAATCCCTATACGGATTGCGTCAGGCGGGGAGAAGCTGGTATGTCAAGTTAGACCAAGTACTGAGAAGTCACAGAGCAACCCCCACCAGGTCAGACCCTTGTCTATTCCAGATTGGTTCCGGGAAGGACTCAACGATGATTGCCATTTACGTGGATGACATTTTAATCGCTTGTCGTGACTCCAGAAAAATCTCCTGCCTCGGAGAGGCGTTAGCTGAAGAGTTTAACATCAAAGATCTCGGTCAGGCGAGTTACTGCTTGGGGATCGAGTTCAGTCAAGGTGACGGAGAAATCGGTTTGAACCAGCAAGGCTACGTCAAGGAACTTTTTCGACGATTCGGGATGCCCGAATCCAAACTGTAGCCACGCCAATAGATATCAACCTCAAGTTGAGGAAGAACGAGAACCAGACCGAGGAGGATGCGAAACTCTCGTACCGCGAGTTGGTCGGCGCCCTCACATATTTATCGACGACGACCCGCCCGGATATCGCCTTTGTTGCTAGTCACCTTGGACAGTTTAACAATAGTTACGGGGTCGAACACTGGAAAACAGCTAAGCGTGCGTTGCGTTACCTACAGGGCAGTTCAAACATAGGGTTGAAGTATGGATCAGAACCGGGGGCGATTCGCGGATTCGTGGACGCTGATTGAGGAAACTGTTCCGAGGAGCGGCGATCGTACACCGGGTACGTGTTCATCTTCAACAGGGGCCCGATTTCCTGGGACTGCCGAAAACAAAGAACGGTTGCGCTATCCACCACCGCGGCCGAGTACATGGGGATGGCAGAATGTGTGAAAGAAGCCATTTATTTGAAACGATTCATCCGCGAGCTGGGTTTCGAGAACCTGGGTGACAGAACCGTATACTGCGACAATAAGGGTTCCCTGAGGCTGGCTGAAAATCCGACTTTTCACGCCAGAAGTAAACATATAGATATTAGACACACACTACTTCGTGAGGGACGTGATACGGGACAGGAGCGTCTTCGTCGCTTACATTCCGACAGAAGACCAAGTTGCGGACGTGATGACCAAGGGACTTCCTAGACCGAAGCACGAGTTGTGTGTGCGTCTTATGGGTCTTCAAATCGGGGGTTAGTTCCCGGCTTGTGTGGAATGTAACGTTCGCGAAGGACTGTATATGAACTGGTAAAAAGACTGTGAGTGACGCTTGACCCGAGGGGGGATGTTGGAAATAGACGGTATCGTGCGAGTAACAGCGTCAATACCGTACGCGGTACCGGTGACACTTCCAATCGGACGTATGCGCGAGCACGGCTGCAACAACAAGAACAATGGCTGGTCGGCGGCCATTCGCGCGCTTGTTTGCGTATACTGTCCCAATGTATGTTCCACTTGTTTTGTTGTAATAAATGTGTTAATCGTTGCCACGGGTTTTTGCGTTCCACGTGCCTGGTACAACTAACAATAAGCATGATAAATTTTTAATCAAAATATGTATATTTACTTGTTCCCTACAAAAAATTGATGACGTTGGCTCAAAAGTTTACCGAAAAAATCCTATCTAAAATGTACAAAATATGATGAGTCTGTACTTGTGATTTATCATTCCATTCATCTTTTTTGGATTTGCAAAAAATGTTTGCTTTAATCAGGAACTACAGAACCGAATGCTTTAAAATCTTGGAGATGTTTTAAAGTTGTCGTAAGCATGGTAAATTTTTGAAAAAAGTATCAAAGTCTTGCAGACGTTTTGAACTTATTGCAGGCATGGTCATGTCAAAATTTTACTGAATAAATCCTGTCTAAATTGTACAAATTATGTTGAGTCTATACTTGTGATTTACCATTCCATTATTTTTTTTTTTCATTTGCATGAATAGGTTAATTTATTTTATTAATTAAATTAATTTTCCCAAAATTTTTGGATTGAGGAGCATATAATACGGTATTATTACTATTGCTGCACCAACATAAGTTGAAATACGTGTTCTTGCAAAAATGATGATTGACGTCATCACAAAATTTCGTAAAAATTTATAGGTGTTTTCATACAAAATATAAAATCCGCAAAACCACATTTTATAATTTTTCAGAAATGCTGGATGTGTTTGTATTTCAGGAGTGAGGGAAGTTCTGTCGAAATAACTTTCAATCAATTTTTTAAATTTCGTTATACAGGGTGGCTCAAAAAAATTAATAAATGAGTCAATTAATTTTGTTGATTAAATCAAGAATTGTAAAACTGAAAAGTTTGAAATTTTGCAGACGTTTTAAAGTTATTGCAAGCATGGATAGTAAATTGTATAAAAAAATATAAAATAACATATAACAAATATATCTGTTTATACCCCTCCCCCCAAATGATGATGTCATTTCAAAGTTTTGCCGAATAAATTCTGCCCAAAATGTGCAAACAACATTATGAGATTTTACTTGTGATTTACCATCGCATTCATGTTTTTTAGATTTGGTTAGATAGATGGCTCAGAAAAATTAATGGATGAGTCAATTTATTTTATTGATTAATTCAGGAACGGGTCACTCGTTTTTCCCAGAAGTGTGGAACTAGAATACTGTTATTTTTAGTATTACACTGCACCCTGCACCAATGCAAGTTTATATACATGTCCTTGCAAAAATATTGTTGACGACAATATTGTATTTCCAAATTTTCTGGCGAACGGAGTGTGACTTGTTCCCGATTTAATCAATAAAATAAATTGATTCATTCATTCATTTTTATGAGTCACACTGCATAAGAAATTTTTAACACATGTTTACACTAGTTTTTGGACAAAGCAACCAATTAGTGTACTTAGACCAATTTTGCACGCTGAACACGATTCTGCAATCCGTTTGTCGCCATCACGTCAGGTTTTTGAGATATTGAATATGACAAGTTTTGATGAAATTTTAGTATATTTAGCAGTTTTCTTACAAAAAATCTTTAAAATTTAAAGTGTAGTCCAGTATTACTTTGTCGAGCATACGTTTGACCATCGGTTTCACGCAACAACATCCAGCAATAATCGCTCATCATGCCTCCATCCCAAAAACCTTGGTAATTTTTTTCCATGCTGTGTAAATTTTGATGTAGCCGTTCGCCCGTTCATAACTGGTAGGGCCTAAGTTAGTTAAATTTTTTGTACCACAAATAGTTGTGTAGTGAACGAACTGAACTTGTACTTTGCATTCTAATTTTTTGTTTATTATTTTCCAGATTCAACAGCTGGACCTTGCTAAAGAGGTAAGTTAAAATAAAAGAACAACTTTAATTTTAATCAGATTACTCTTAATATATAAGGTGATTTAAAGAAATTAATAATTGTATCTATTACTTGGCTCATGTTTCATATCAGAAAATAATAGTTGTTTATGTAACAAATACATAAACAAAGGCTTTACTCCACGGGCTTAGTTAACCACGAGCGAGGAGCAAGGGAATCCAATTAAAAGGGCAAGTACAGTAGCGCCTGTTTATGTACGAGGTGCATACGTTTGACTCAACAGAAACAATTTTTCTGCAACTCTTTCACCTCCATTTTAAAATTATTAGTAATTTTGAGTGCCCGTTATCGTTGTCGCACTTAAATGAATTGTCTGTGAAATGAATTTTTACTTTCCGAGTGTAAGCGAAGGAAGTATTGTAATTGAGTCCGTCGGCTGACACTCTACTTTTACGTTCTTTCATGACCCCTACAATACGAAGAAATAGGTCTTCCCTTTCCGTCTGTCTTTCTGTCTATCAGCCCGCCTGTCTGTCTGTCCGTCTGTCTGTCCATCTGTATGTCCGTCTGTCTCTCCGTCTGTCTGTCCGTCTGTCTGCCCGTCTGTCTGTCCGTCTGTCTGTCTGTCTGCCGTCTCGGATTTTTTATTAGACAGATAATCTCCGAAAGTGCGGAGCCGATTGTTGTACAGGTTTGTATTTATATTAGAAATATGTAGATGGGAAAACGCTAACCAAAATTTGTCTAATCATCCCCACCAGCGTAGCACCTTTCTTTACGTTTACTTTAATATACATACATATCTTTACTTTAACTTATAAAGGTTATCAAAAAAAGTTAAATTCGCAAAATCAAATGATTTTCGAAAAAGTGGATTTGTACTCCAAGGCAAGGGAAGTCTGTCAAAAGAACTTTCAACCAATTTTTTTCAATTTGTTCTCTTACGGTTTCTACTGATGAGAAAAATTGTATATTATCCACGTTTATGATGTCAATAGATTTCGGGCTTTATTATTTAATTCACATAGTAATTATTAACTTGTTAATTGCATTAAATTAATAATTTGAGAATAAATAACTTCTGTCAGTTGTTTTCGTTTATTCTGTCTTTCAGTTCCCATTTGATTGACTGCATCAGCATCATAGTCGTCTTCTTCATTCTGTTTCTATTATGTGACAAGTAAGTAATGCATAGGTTTACTGAACGCGCCCTTTTATAACCGAGAAAGTTTGTTCGTGAGGCTAATAAAGGGGCAAGTTCAACAAAAGGCATTATTTACGTGTGTCATAAATAGTACATAGCTTTATGTTTGACTCAATAGAAGAATTTTTTTTGCAACTTTTTCACCTCCATTTTAAAATGGTTAATAAGGTTTCGTAGGCACATGCGATTGTCACAGTCAAATGAATTGTGCTGCGGGCTAAATTACTTTAAAAGTCCAATAAACTGATAGATCATGGATAGTTAGCACCACGAGTCCAAAACACTATTTTTATTGTACCTGTACAATAACAACACTGTGGATAGTATCATAATTGAGGTGATTATAAGTGAGTTGAACATAATATTAACTTACACAAATAGCTCGGGGTAGCCTGCTTCCCGCATGAACGCTTGTTTGCGGCACGACCGAAGGGAGTGGCGCATTTGCGTGAATGCAGGAAGCAGGCATTACGAACGTGTTGTGTACAATATTTTTTGTAACGAATAAACCTTCAAACTGAAGAGATTAACGGTGAGTTATTTATAAACGACGGCGTTGACAGCGCCGTAAACACGTCACAATGTTGACACTACCCGACTATTTTAAGGTTACTATGGCAACGGAAAGTTAGAATGCACGTGTGCGGGAAGTTCGACCTCCCTGGTGAATGCGCGAAAGTCATAAAAAAAGGTCATGAGTGTGAAATAGTAATTTACGCAACTAGTTCGGGATAGCCTGCTTCCCGCATGAACGCTTGTTTGAGGCACGACCGAAGGGAGTGCCGCATTTGCGTGAATGCGGGAAGCAGGCTCACGAACGTGTTGTGTACAATATTTTTTGCGACGAATAAACCTTTAAACCGAAGAGATTAACTGTGAGTTATTTATAAACAACGCCATTGACAGCGCCGTCAACACGTCACAATGTTGACACTACCCGAGTATTTTAAGGTTACCATGGCAACGGGAAGTTAAATGCACGTGTGCGGGAAGTTCGACCTCCCGCACTCTGGTGAATGCGCGAAAGCTATCAAAAAAGGTCATGAGTGCAAAAAGTAAATTTTCGTAACGGCATTAATCCTATACACATAATCGGAAAAAACTCCTCTGGCAGGGGCAATTTATTTTAAAAATGCTATCTTGGCATTGTAGCTATTTGACTCGTTATTTGATAGTTATTTGACCATAACTGTCAAACGGAATAAAGAACGCATTGGTGTTGCCAATATGATTATTTTAAAATTAAATTTCACCGTCCACAAGAGATTTTTTTTTCGATTATATGGTAGATTTTACAAGTGACCAGTGGCGGCTCCTCGGGGTGGGCAGGGTGGGCAATGCCCACCCTATTTGATTGTTTATGATACGAAGTAAAATATTGTTTTTTTTTTCTTTTTTAAAATATATTATATGTATACACAAATAATTATCGTCGTAAACATCATTTAAGCCAACGGATTTTCTTCATTACATCCCGCAGTTTCCGCAACTGAGAAATTGCAGTTGCAAAAAAGTGCGTCAGATCTCGGCGTTATACGGTTCATGTGAGGATGGGCTAGTCCACCCTGGTCCACCCTCTTGATTGTAAGCAACGACATACGTTCGGTTTTCTATGTACGTAATTGAGAGTAAAGAATTCGAAACGCGCGTCTTTGCATATTCGTGTTTTCTTGCTTCAAGCGGGGCAGGACGCCCTGGCCTCAACGTATATCTCAAACGCTGCAGAATCGGATCTCTCGATATTCGATTCAAGGATCCAATAAATTAATTTCGATTTTTTTACTTCTTCTGTATTGTAAAAGTATAGAGGTAATTATTATTATTACTCTATTGAAATATGGGTAAGGTAGTAAGGAAAATAATGTTATGCGAAAATTCTTGAATACTATTGTTACAGAAAAGAGCTACACCATAATAATTAATAAATACTTTTTCATATCAAATGAAAATTTGTAATAACCATATTCTTGTATTATGACACCGTGTAAACTTTATAATGAATTATAAATTTAAAAATCCGAATAACCAATGATGAGAATAAGTACTGTTACGACACCTTTTGTGCCGACCGACCTATGCGCTGGTGGAGATGGGGTATACAAAAAAGACGGTTAACTTACTTATTTCTAATGAAACAAGGAATACACTGGACGCGACACAGCGCCCTTCAAATCACAGATTAATTACCAAATTACACCTTAGCACCTTAGCTTAACATGTACACAGTGGGTCGCACACAGCGCCCTTTTTGATACGAATTACCACCATACAAGTTGCTTCCTCCCTCCTTTGTAGGCAAGTCCTGCGGGAGGATTCGTGGGGGGAAAAATCTGGCACGGCGGTTCCTCTCGTTTTCGTGACGCCCCCTTTGTCGGCTCAGTGGGACGAGTCGGGAGGTGTGGAGGCCTGAGGAATTCTTACGGTCTCCCCAAAGGTTTTTCGTTCTTCTTCCCAAAAGAAACTAGTAACGCCACGTCGAAGAGGAAAAAGTTGTAGACAAAAAAACAGAAAAGAAATCGAAAACTTGGCTGTCTCTGTGCAAAGGAAAACCTGGTTTATACGGGATCTCGCAAGGGTGACTTACTTACGGTTCTCTCTTACACTCACTCGCACCCCCGGTAACTTTTCCGGGCTGTCGCTCCCCCAAAAGTTACAACCCCGTACTTTTTGCGTCCGCTGCCGACCGTTACTAGATTCTGTTTAAACGCGATCTCGTCGGATGAGTTGCGGAAATTCCCGATTAGGCGACAAATCGCGCTTTCCCTGCTCAAAATGCCACTCGTTCACCGCAGTCTCTCACTTGCGCCTGACTCGCTGTTATCTAGGCAACCCCTTATTTTCGAACCGTAACAGTACCTAATACATTTATTATTGCAGTACGTATGTGACATGTGTATTTTTTTATTATTACATATGCATTTTTGTTTCATAAAGTGAATGCTTTGTTAACTGTAGCAAAGTCAACAAAAGTTAAATATACGCTTAATTTATTATTTAATTCAGACTGTCCGCACAGGTTTGTAACGCGTTCGCTCTAGCATGGGTGGGCAAATCCACCCTGAAAATCGGAAGCACTCGGCATGGTTCGTCCTCGTCGGAGACACGACTCAATTCAATTCAGTCAGATCAGAAACTTCATTGTGGATAGTGCATTTAATTATAAAATGTAGCGTATTCAAATTACCAAATAGTTAGGCGGGTACCAAAGTAGGTACTTTCTAGCAATTTTTTTTAATGGCAAATCCTACTGTAAGCTGTGCAAATAATATTAGAGAAGTGGTAAAGAAGGCATTAAAGACATTGAGTTTTTGTTTTTAATAAATAAATTCAGTAGTATGGAACTTGATATTTATGAATTATTTGTTTATAAATTAAGATCATGTCCCGAAATGAAACAATTGGTCATCACAAACTCTCGTGGCAGTAATAAAGGCTTTAATCAAAGTTCGGACAATAAATATTACCTACCTATTGATTGATCGGTAGTGAAACAAACAAAACTGTTGGAAATATCTGATATTTAACATAAAACTAAATTACGAACACTTTAGAATTCCACAAGAAGAGCGATATAAAATATATTGCTACTGCCTTACAAAAACATGACCAATCTGAATAAACGAAATTTACTTGGAAAACGAAGTGAAACTATAGAAAATTCTCTTAAATTCGGCGTTTATTCGATATGATAATTTTCTTGGCTACACAAAAACATACATTTCGGGGACAAGATGAATGGCAAATTTCTCTTAAAGTAAATTCGATGATAAATTTAAAAAGTTTTTTGGAGGAGTCTTTGGTAATTAGTGGTTTTCA